CGAAACATCACAGGTTCGGTAGGCGCAATTGTACAGCGATAATAAGTAGAGATTATAGTAAAGTCATAGAGAGCATGAGAGTTAAAGGATGGAGTCAAGTAATGGAGTCAGACGCAATTCATGGTAGCATCGCTCACCTCAGCCCCACTTGATGGTCCTCGTGGAGGGGGCTTAGCCGTCAGAGTAGAAGCAGCTGCCTCATCCTCCTCCGCCACCCTCCCGAGAACCAGGGAGCTTCATTATTTATTGCTAACCACGCATCATATCACTTTAGGGGGATCTGATTACAGAATCATACATCACATAAAGGGGCAATACAATTCATCCTTGAACAGGTTTGATCATTCTGATGTCTCATACAATAAAACAGACAATTACTATCCTGGGAGGCATGCGAGCCCCCCCATAGCAGATAACAACCTACGTCATAGGGAGGGGTTGTAACATAGGCAATACAAGCAATAGGAGGGGGATGACCTAGGGGTGAATGCGCAATAGTAAGAGGAGGGAATAGGGGTCATGTGTGGCAAGATGGTAACCTAAGCTTAGTCATCTTAGAGTGGTCCCGGGGTTGCCTATGGGCACTGTGGGATAAACAGTGGTGTCTGCTTTATCTAGACAGCTGATACCTCTCAGTGAGAATGACTCCCAATCCACTCTTGATGGCTGATGTTGAGGAGAATAACCTCTGACCTACTTTCGCTGACCACCTAGTGAACAGTCATTCTCAAGATACATTTTTGGGGGAGACAGCTTGAGAGAAATCCTTCTGTTCCCCACAACAAACCAAACACACTGCAGAGCAACCCTCCAAGAGAGAGCTGAGCTGCTCCTTAGGGTTTCTGATGTAATCTTTACAGGGGCTGAAAACCTCATGTCTCGCCCATGGAGCAGCTGATGGGTTTGTACCCCTGACTTTGGGGTTCGCAACTCCCTGGGTCACCCATTCCACCACCAGAGCGCCTACATGCTGTTAGCGCTGGGTCCTGTGGGGTCAGTTCTGACTCAGAGCAACCTCCTGATGCACAACAGAAACACTGCCGGTCTGCGTCATCCTCAGAAATATTCTTATGCCTGAACCTATGGTTTCAGCCATTGTGTCAATCCATCTTCCCAGGGCCTTCCTCTTTTTCAATGCCCTTCCACTCTACCCAACACGATGTCCATCTCCAGAGACTGGTCTCTCCTGACGGCATGTCTAAAGTACATAAGACCAAGTCTCCTCATCCTTGCTTCTGCAGAGCACGCTGGCTGTACTTCTTCCAAGACAGCCTTGTTTGTCCTTCTAGCAGTCCATGGGACTTTTCCTATTCTAGGCTGGCACCACAATCCAAAGGCATTGCTTCTTCTCCGGTCTTGCTTATTCAATGTCCAACTTTCAAATGCATCTGTGGTCATTGAAAATACCATGACGTGGGTTAGGTGCACCTTAGTCCTCAAAGTAACATCCTTGCTTTTCAAGACTTTAAAGAATTGTGTAGCAGATAGGATACTGGGACTTCATGAAATAGTATTTTTCTCTTAACTGTCCTACAATTGTTTAGAAAGGTAAACGCCACTCGCACTTAGCCTATGGGTCCAACAGAAGTGGGAGCAGGGCTGGGTTTGGCTATGGGTGATGGTTTGCTGGAATTATCATGCTTGTCTGTCTTAGAATGTGCTGGCAGAGTGGTGACACGTTGGGTTGGTTGTTAACCTCAAGGTCAGCAGTTCGAAATGACCAGCTGCTTTTATTTTAAGTGTAAATAATATTAAACTTTTAATATTAGTATATTAGAGCATTATGTCTACTATTCATTCTTTTTTTATTAATCATTTTACTGGGGGGGGGGGCTCTTACAAATCTTATGACGATCCATCATTCAATGGTATCAAGAACATTTGTACATATGTTGCCATCAACATTTCCAAAGCATTTTCTTTCTACTTGAGCCCTTGGTATCAGCTTTTTTTTCTCCTCCCTCCCCCACCCTCTGAATCCTTGGTCATTTATATATTATTGTTGTTATTTCATGTCATACACTGTCTGTTGTCTACCTTCACCCACATTTCTACTATTCATCCCTCTGAGGGGTAGGCTATATATCCAATCTTGTGTTGGGTTCCCCTTTTGTCCCACTTCCACCCTCCACCCCTATTATATCCCTACCCTCATGATATTGCTACTCCTGTTAGGTAGGTTAGCTAGAGCAGGGAATGTCTGTTAACACATGCCCAGAGGGCCAAGCTAGGGGAACAAAGGAGTGGCACACTGCACATGCCCAGAGATTCAGGGTTCCGGCTGGTAGGCTGGGGTGGGTGTGAATCTGAATTGGCCCACCTAGGCCAGGTGAATTCAATTCAGTCAATAGGGTCAATCAGGGGTCTTCCACCATGCCTCCCCTTGAAAAGGCAGAATCCTGGAGTCGGGAGAGAGAACTTTAGTGGCAGAGCTCTGGGAGAGCTTTGGAGAGACTTTGGGACACTTTTGCGGGACACCGAGCCGCTTCCAGCCAGGCCACATGTCCGGGAGGAGTCCCTCAGGTGCCGTGTAAACCTGAAACTTCTTCTAACTTTCATAAAACTCACTTGGATCACGAACCAGGCTTCGGCGTGAATTCTTTCTCGCGCGGAGCCAAGGACCGAGGTATAGATCTAGCTCCAGAGAGACCTAACACTCCCACTACTGTTCATGAGGGTTTTATCTGTCCTGAATTTCATGTGTCAAGAGCTCTTATCTATACCAATGAATATTCTCCGGTCTAGCTGAATTTGTAAGGTAGAACTGGGTCATGGTAGTGTGTGTGTGTGTGTGTGTGTGTGTGTGTGGGTGGTGGTGTGTCCAGCTCCACACAGCTAATCACAGCTTTGATAGGTGCAATTGTACAGTTAAGATACATAAAGATTATAATAAAGTCATAGAGAGCATGAGAGATATAGGAGAGCATCAAATAAAGAAGTCAGACACATTTCATGGTAGCATGCTCACCTCCTGGATGGCCATGATCTTACCAGCCAGATCCGTGCACAGCGTGGGCCTAGGTGAGGTGGGGTGGAGACCCGGCAGCCGGTTAGCAACCCTGCAGGAGGCTGGAGACCCTGTTATTGCTAACCAAGTGTTATATCTTCTTGAGGGCGTGAGTACAGGTAACCACGCGTGTCACATGAAGGGGCTGTACAATAGGCAATACAAGCAATAGGAGGGGGATATACTATGGACATAAGTGTAACAGGAAGGGGGTGAGCTGGGGGTGCACACATGACAGGAAGGGATGGAACCAGAGGTGTACATGTGACAAGAGGGGCAGACCCTAGATTCGTGATGGCAATCTAACCTTGGTCACCCTTGGGTGGGCTTGACCTCTCAGGGGTCTCCTACAAGGAAACAGTCAACTACTATCCTTATCAGAAGGGACTGGGTCCTACTTGTGGGATAAACAGTAGTGACTGCTTGCTCTGGATAGCTGATAACCCTTAGGGAGAATAACTCCTGACCTACTTCTGTTGGCCTCCAAGTGTATAACCATTCGCCATGTGTAGCAAGCAGCTAAGTTTAAGTTTGGGGGAGACAACTTGGGAGAAATCTTTCTGTTTCCCACAGTAGTGGAGAGGGGTGGTGGAAAGGAAGCATTCAGGAACTAGAGGGATGATGTGTGTTTTGTCGGTGCTGTACTGTACCCAGGTTGAATGGTCCCTTCCTTCTAACCCTTCTGTGGGAGGATGTCCAATTGTCTACAGATGGGCATTGGGTCACCACTCCAATTCCCGTCATTCACATCAATATAATTGTTTGTTTTGGATCTTTTAATACCTGATCCAGTTGACACACACACACAGGCTGGTGTGCTTCTTTCATGTGGGCTTATTTGCTTCCCTGCTGGATGGCTGCTTGTTTAAGTTCAAGCCTTTAAGACCCCAGGCACTGCATCTTTTGATCACCGGGCATCATATTCTCTCTTCACCACATTTGCTTATGTACCCACTTTGTCTTCAGTGATCATGTTGAGAAGGCGAGTATCAAAGAGTGCTAGGTTATTAGAACAAAGTGTTCTTGTGTTTAGGGAAGCCTTGAGTAGTGGCCCAAAGTTCATCTGCTATCTTAATTCTTAACAGATAAATATGTGTACATTGGCCTTTATCCCTTTCATATAAATTAATATACTTACATATATACGTGCCTGTAGGCATATCCCTAGAAATAGCTTTTGCTTCCTACTTCTTTCCTGTATTTCCTTTCACCTTCTCCTCTCTCACCACCGTGTTCATCCCACTCTCGGCTCTCAGGAATTCCTCTTGGATACATCGCACGTGACCAAACCTCACTAGGCCTCCTTGCCATGTGTTGTAGAGCTCTTGTTCCCTCAGCCCTGAGTTTGTTGGCTCCCCCATCTCCCTCCCCACTCCATCCTCTCCCATGTCCCCCTGGGACTGCTGGTCCCGTTGTTTTCTCCTCTGCCTTGTTTGTCCTGCCTATCTTATACAGATAGACAAAGGGAGAAAGAAACAAAACAAAACAAAACAAAACAAAACAAAACAAAAAGAATAGATAGTTCCAGGTCTGTCTGCTGATCCTTCTGAGATTTTTCCAATCAGGTCTGAGGAGGTGCCCAGCCCTGTCCCCCGAGCCAAGATGTCTATTTTCAGGGTTCCTCAAGGACTCGGTTGCTTTGGGCCAGCCGTTGTTCAAGAGAAAGATGAGACTGTCTACTCCCATCAGGGGTGACGGTCTCAGAACCCCACAGGGGCAGTTCTCCCCTGTCCTTCTGAGCCAGCATTGACTTGATGGCAGTGAGTTTTTGCCCTCTCATGTGGCTTTAAGAGAAAGAGTTAGCAGCAGGGAGGAGGCAATCCCTTTGTTGTTGACTGGTGTGGGGGCAGGTCTGGATAACTGCTAGCCTCCGGGCAAGCTGGAGAGTCTGTGTGGGCAGCCAGCCTTACCTTCAGAGCCTGGGAGGACAGTGGGTGACCACATTCTTGCTTAGGGTTGAAGGAAGGTGTCTGCCCCGAATCCTGGTCCCACGATGCTCCGATCAGAGCCCTTTCTGAAGATGTCCCTGCTGATCCTGCTTTTTCCGGGACTGACAGAGACCTGTATTCCACGAGAAGGTAAGACCTTCACTCACTCACTTGACTTCTCCCTATTTCTTCCTACAATGGAGAGGATCCCTTGGGCTGGCTCCAGACAGTGCCTCCTAATGTCTAACTAGACTACTTCTTGCTTCATGTGTAGGTGCTCTCGTTTCTCTTTCTCTTTTGGTGGTGGGCTGGATGAGTCCTGGGGACTGCACCCCCCTGTCTTTGGAGATAGACGGACTCATTGTGACTTTGGGAAGGGGGCATTGCCTCTTGAGCCTCACTGTCCTCCTCTGTAACAAGGGCATCCTAAAGATCAGGGACCCTGGTACAGTGGTTACGAATTGGGCTGCTAACCACAGGGTCAGCAGTTCAAAGCCACCAGCCACTACGAAGGAGAAAGATGGGGCTTTCTAACTCCTGTAAAGCCTTACAGTCTCAGAAACCCACAAGGGCAGTTCTACCCTGTCCCATAGGGTCACTGTGAGTCGGCATTGACTCGATGGCAGTGAGTTTGGTTTGGGAAAAGGATCTCTAGTTCTAGAGTTCCTGTGTGCTGCTGCCGGAGGGTTGAAGGATTTGGGGGCCAATCCAAGAAAAAGTGTGTCCTCTGGAGTGGACTGAACCTCACAGTGCTCGCATGGAACAGAGTAGAATTACTCCATCTGGTTTCCTAGGCTGTAGTGGATGGACAGATCTCTCTCCTGCAGAACTGCCGGTGGGTTTCCAAACCCAAGTGGCATGGGGAAGACTAGGAGGCAGGCAAGGGAATTCCTGGGTGAGAGAGAACGTGGAGGAAATGGGGGTGGGGCTTACTTGTCTAGGCTAAGACGTTAAGCAGCAAGGTGGTAAGTGGCTGGGTCCAAGAACTCTGAAGGGCAGCAGGGATTTTGTATCATTCTTATAGCTAGAGGAAGCAGCTCTGGGGTGGCCGTGGCTTAAACACTCAACTGCTTACCAAATGGTTGCTGGTTCAAACCCACTGGCAATCTCACTGGAGAAAGATGTGGCAGTCTGCTTCTGTCAGGATTACAGCCCACCCACCCTCCAGGGGGGATGAATAACAGACATGTGGGTGAAGGGAGACAATGGACGTGTAAGACATGAAATAACAACAGTAATAAAGAATTGATCAAAGATTCACGAGGGTGGGAGGGAGGGGGAGGGAAGGGAAAAAAGGAAGAGCTGATGCCAAGGGCTCAAGTGGAAATGTTGATGGCAACACATGCACAACTGTGTTTAGTACAATTGAATGACGGATTGTCATAAGATTTGTAAGCCACGCCCCCCCACCCCCGATAAAATGATTAAAAAAAAAGATTACAGCCTAGCAAACTCAATGGGGGCAGCTCAGCTCTGTTCTTTAGGGTCCCTGTGAGCGGAATCTTGCCCTGATGGGATACAGCAACAACAGCAGCTTGGGTCTGGAGAAGATTTTTCTCTGGATGAGATACACTTGAGGCAAAAACTGGTGGACAAGCAGGAGTTGGCCAAGTCCATAGCTGGAGGGAGACAGTTCTAGGCTGAGGGCACCGTGTGTGCAAAGGTCCTGGGGCTGGAAGGATCTATGAGAAGGTGGTGCATCTGGAGGTTGGTGTACAGGGTAAAGGGCAGGGCGGGTGGGTGTTGTTTTAAGTTAGGATGCATAAGAGCCAGGAGGCAGGTCATACAGGTCTTTGGGAAGTCACATAAGGATGTGGGGTGTTATTCTTAGTGTATCAGGAAGCTATTCAAGGGTTTGAGGGGAAGGTGGTGGCACAAGGGTTAAGCATTTGGCTGCTAATTGAAAGGCTGGCAGTTGTGAGGAACTAGCAGCAATGTGGGAAAACAACCTGATGCTGGGGTCTTAAAGGCTCGAAGATAAACAAGCAACAAGCGGCCATCTAGCTGAGAAGAAAAAAGCCCACCTGGAAGAAGCACACCAGCCTGTGGAAACATGAGGTGTCGATGGGTTCAGGCATCAGGCATCAAAGACCCAGAACAAAATATCACATCAATGTGAATGAGGGAGAGTGTGGAGTGGAGAGCCAAAGCCCATCTGTAGATAATTGGACAAACCCATCACAAGAAAGAGATGGGCCAGTCAGGGTGCAGTAGAGCACCATACCCTACAACTTTCCTCTAGTTCTTTACTGCTTCCTCTCTCCCACTATCATGACCCCAATTCTGCATTACAAATCAGGCTAGACCAGAGCATGCACATGGGTACAGATCAAAGCTGGAAACACAGGGAATGCAGGACAGATAAACGCCTCGGGACCAGTCATGAGAGTAACCATACCAGGAGGGTAAGGAGAAGGTCGGGGGGAGAAAAGGGAAACCCATCACAAGGATCTACATATAACCCCCTCTCAGGGGTATGGACAACAGAAAAGTGGGTGAAGGGAGACATAGGTCAGTGTAAGACATGAACATTTTAAAAATAAATTATCAAGGGTTGGTTCATGAGGGAGGTGGGGAGAGGAGGAAAATGAACTAATACCAAGGGCTCAAGGAGAAAGAAAATGTTTTTACAATGATGATGGCAACATATGTACAAATGTGCTTGACATAATGGATGTATGTGTGAACTGGGATAAGAGCTGTACGAACCCCCAATAAAATGATTTTAAATAAAGAAAAGGAAAACGACCAGATGGCCTGCTCTTATAAAGATAGATGACAGCCCAAGAAACGCTATGTGAGACCCAGGAAAACCCCTTGTTTATTTTCCCATAGCAGGCTCCTCTCTACCCTGCCACGCAGGGCATTGGCTAGATAGCACAGAACTAGGATGGAAGGGTTTCAAAGCAAGGGAGCATCATCTTTAGGTGTGTGTGTGTGTGTGTGTGTGTGTGTGTGTGTGTGTGTGTGTGTCTGTCAACTAGGTCATGAACAGATTGGTGCTGGGTAGTTGCCATTGAGTCGAGGAGGGGCTCATGGTGTCCCTTTGTGTGTCAGCTCCGTGGGGCTTTCAACACTGGGCCCTTTGGGGGAAGATCACCAGTCTCCTATCCAAGTTGCTTATGGGTGGTCTAGAACTGCCAACCTTTTGGTTAGCAGCCAAGCACGTAACATCAAGCATTGTTCAGAGAACCAAGCCCAGACCAGTGCCCAGAATATGCCCCGAGTGACTATTGGTTGGAGGGCTGAAAGGGTGGGTGGATGAATAGATGGATCCATGGGAGGATGAATAGAAGGATGAATGGATATTTGGATGTGTGGATGGAAGAATGGATTGCAAGTGGATGGATGGATGAATAAATGGATAGATGAATGGATGAATGGATGGATGGATGAAAGGATGGATGGATAGATGGACAGGTGATGGGAGAATGGAAGGAGGAAAGGTTGCTTGGGTGGGTAGATTGTATGGGTGGACGTAAGTAAACAGTGGGTGGATTAATTGACATCCAATGACCTAGGCAGCTCTGACCTTGACCATTGTGGCCTTCTGAGTCTAATGTGGAATTCTTTCCCTGTTGCCTGCTCCCATGGGGCCCTGAATGGATGATGTTTCTGCCTCCAGTTGCCATCGAACAAAAAAGTAAGAACAATGAAAACCCCAAGCCCGCCTTCCCATAGCTAGCTCCTTTCAAATCCGTTTGGCTCTGGGGCTTCTGGAGGGAGGGAAGCCAGCAGTTCGAAACCACCAGTGACTCTACGAGGGGAAAAAGAGCAGGCTTTCTACTCCCGTAAAGATTTATGAGTCTTGGAAACGCACAAGGGCAATTCTACTCAGTCTTATGGGGCAGTTTTGATTTGTAATTGACTCAAGGGAAGTGAGTGTTTTGAGTCTGTAAGCAGTCTCAGCAGCCACTCTTTTTTGTTGTTCATTATTGTAAGTCTATCTATCACAAACTCTTTGCCAGCCCAACTCTCTACAGGTGTGCAACTTTTTGACAGCACTTGATAGGCAACCCTAACCTTACTTGCTGTATTTTTTTTATCACTCTTACTCTCCATCCACCCCACTCCCCACCCTCACCCCCACCCTGTCACCAGAATCACACTGATTTCTATACATTTGCCTTTTCATGTCTTTTTGCAAAAGTAAAGGCATACATACCCTCCGGTGACTGATTGACTTCCCTTGGCACAATAGCTTCAAGCTGTGCACCCAAACTACAGCTCTAGGAAGGCTTTGTTTAGTCTGCTGGCACCAGCAGTAGGCACACAAGCTTTTAAGATCCCCAGGGACTACAAATATTTTGCTCTTTTCAGCAGTGCTTCCGAGAAAAAAAAAATCTATGCAGTATCATAGGGGAGCCCTGGTCCCTCTGAGGGGAGCAGATGAGGTGTCTGTAAAGATCCACAGCCTCTGAAGCCCACCCTGTAGAAAAGTCCTATTTTCTACCCTGTCCCACAGGGTTGGTCGCTGTGAGTTGGAATTGACCCAACAGCAGTGGGGTTTTGTTGTTGTTTCATATTACACATTTAGGAATATCTATCTGTGGTAGGACTCACTACTACAAATGTCATTTTAAGCCCTCTCCCTGTCCCCCAACGTCCTTGACAATACAGGGTTATTCAATTTTGGTCTTTGTGGAATGATGTGTGACAAAACTATATAAAAGCAGTCCCAGGAAACTCCTCCCTGTAGAAGACTAGGCAGGTAACTGCTCCATAAAAGAATTTGGTGTCAGAGTTAAGTGAGATGACAATGCTAATATGATTCCCATCTTCGGTCTTTTCTTTTCCATGTGGATTCGCTGGCTTCTCGTTTTGTGGGCCCTCCCAGTCAAACGTAAGTCCCGTTGCTTTCTCTCCCCACAGTATCAGGAAGCTCTGTCACCCGGGGAAGGAAGGGGGCTGACGGGAGAAGCAAATCTGACAGTCATTATGTTCAACCCAGGGCAGAGTCAGAGAGATGCTCTGAATTGAGAAACAAGAACTCTTTTGCTCCCCTCTGGGGACTCCTGGCCATCACTGGGTGGCCTTGAGAGAGGCCACCAAACAAACAGAGCACTGTGTGTGCGTCTGGGTGTGTGGTGGGTGGAGGAGGAGAAGAAGAGGAAAGAAAATGAGAAAGAGGAAGAGGACAAGGAAGGGAAGGGAGAATGAGACAGAGACAGAGACAGAGACAGACAGACAGACAGACAGAGCAAAAAGGGGACTAATAGAGAGCAGCAGACATTTTTATGTTTTCAACGCTTACTCTGCCCATCTTCCCGCTTGTGACATCCGCTCACTGAAGCTGGTGCCCAGCCCATTGGCGTTATCCACACCACCCAGAAAGATGCTTGGGGACCCTCCTGTCTAAAAGAGTTACAGACATCCCAAAGACTGAAATACCTGACGTCAGCCTTTGTTCTCGCTCTTTCACTGATCGTGCCTCTCCTGCTGTTCTTTGTTTTCACCCTGCGGGTCGTCTGAAATACCCCCCACCCCACCCCCACCCCTGCCAGGAAGTTGCTCTCTGCCCTAAAAACAGCAGGCAGTGACTGCAGCCAGGGGAGACCCTGTGAGCTCCTTCTTCACCTAACTCTATTGAAGCTTGTTAGTGGGTCTGTATTCAACCTGAGTTTCTCTTCCTTTATGTCATACGGCCTCTCGTGGACTTTATACCTTTTAGGTGGGCTAATTCTCTGACTTTAGACAAAGGGCCAGCTCTAAGCTTTCTTTACCTGGCTATCCCTAAACTCCTTTCACTTCATCGCCTGTTCCCCACAAACTTCACCTCCCTCAATAAATCCATGAGTGAAAGGTCTCATTCTGTCTCTTGTCTCTGAAAGACCTAACCAGTAGTAACAGCATCATCCTAACCTGCTTACCTCAAGGAAAATCATGGCCAGAATCCGTCCAAAGAGTGGAAGTGACACCTATCTCCACCATCTAATCTTTTTATCAATTCTGGCTCGTTTCCTCCCTCCCTCCCACGGCACCTCTTCCCTCTGTCCTGGATGCCATGGTCCATTGACATGGCCATCCAGAACCTGATGACTGTGCTGGTCCGGGTAGACTAGAGAAACAAATCCAGGGAGACTCATGTGCATAAGAGGTTTATCGAAGGAAAAAAAAAGAGAAAGGTTTATGTACAAGAGCAATTGAATATTGAGAAAACATCACAGCCCAGTCCAGATCAAGTCCACAAGTCCGATATTAGCCCATTTGTCCAATACCAATCTATAAAATCTTCTTCAGACTCACAAAACACATGCAATGACGCTGAATGAGGGAAAATCACAGGCCAGTGGGTGGGAAGTCTTGTGGATCCAGTGGCATTGTAAGCATCTCAGCACTAGCCAGGGGTCTCCACATGGCTTCTCCAGTTCCCAGGGCTCTGGCTGCGTCAGGGTAAGTCCATGTGGCTTCTCCTCAGGGATTTCTTGCAGGGAGAGAGCCTAGGGAGAGAGTGTCTCCCTCCTCCAAGGAGGAAATACAGGAGTTCCCAGAATCCTCAGGAGAAGGCCATGCCCACACAGAGGCCTCATTGGCTATTACCTGATTGACAGGCCAGACTCCACCCCTTCACTCTTAACCCTCTCAAATTGACAACAAGGACTATATTTAACAGTTTATGAACAAACAGGCTGCACCTCAAGACCAGGAGGCATGTTGGCAAATTTCCCCTGCTTCAGTATAGGACACCTCTCTCAGCTCCCACCAGGAGGACAGGTCTCCTCTTAGCCCCCTGGGAATGGTGCCCTCTTGTCCCTGTGGCTGCTGGTTCTGTCACTGAGCCCTTTCTGGGCCTCTCACGATCTTCAGTTCATTTTACAGCCCTTTTAGGTGGTCCCTTGTCTCCCTCTGCTGCTTCTTTGTTCTTTCTTCTGGATCTTTCTCTTCCAGCTGCTTCACATCTCAACCACCTCAATGGGGCAAGTGCTTCAAACAACAAAGCTCCTTGTCAGTTTCAAAGGAAAAACACTTCACCATTCTTCCCCACTCCCCACCCCCCAGCGCCAGACACTGTTGATAGGCCACAGACACTTCATTTGCATAGTAAGTATGGTAGGGCTACAGCTTACATCATTCGGGGAGTCTATTGACTAATCAAATTGTATGCAATCAAGTTGCTGATAGCTCACCCCAGAAACACCAAGAAATGGGTATAAAAGGAACAAACTGTCTGGGTAGAAAACTAGGGCAAAAGTTAAATCTCAGTTTAAAGGGTGGGGTGGGTGGGTGGGTGGGTATTTCTCTAGTTGTTTCTCCAAAGAACAAAGGCAAAAGGTCACAGAAAGGAGCTCGTTGGGAGAGAGAAAGAGAGATCTTCCAGGGATAAAGAGACAAGAAGTGGGGTGGGGGGTGATAGAGAGGAGGAAGAGGGAGGGAAAGGGAGAAAGAGGGAAGGTGAGCGAGAGAGAATGAGCCATGGATGGAGAAGGGAGGGACACACACACACACACACACACACACACACACAATCTGTGTGTTTCCTGGGCATATGCAGTCCAAAGCTTTTTAGCAGATTTTCTGTGGAATCAGCTACGTAACACAGATTAGATATCTCTAATCGAGTATAGCTAGAAACCACTCAACTGGATTGACATGTTGGTACTCATAAGTGGGGTTTAGATGCTGAAAGTATGGTGCCACACGGACAAGACTCCCTGTTGGCCCCAAATGAAAAGATTTTCTGGTCTCCAGTTGAGAGGAAGATATAGATGTGGCAACTGATTGCTGGGGGAGACCCCGCTTCCATTCCCCAGCTAACTGGCGTCCCTGGAGTATCTGATTGCTGGGGTACATGTGTCTCCACAGGGGTCCAGGGGATTCAGCATGGCCAGGACTTCCTAGTCTGGTTCTCTAGTCCATCGTGGGACTTAGGGAGGTGCAATGAAGTACAAGGGTGATTTCATTAATTCTGTGCTCTCTCTGGATCTTTATGCGGAACATGATCCCCGCTGGCCACCACGGGTCTTCTCTTTCCCACTGCTGGGATGCCGACAGTGCTGAAAGGTAAGATCCTTTGCTCTCTTCCTCTCCGTTCTGGTTGTCGTTGTCTGACGGGCAGAATTCCTGAGGACTCCCAATGAGGCTTGCTTCTCCTAACTGATCACCACCCAGCTTTGAATCCAGGAACTAGAAGAAAACTTGAGTTTGGGACCATCTCTCAATGAAAAATGAAATACCTTCTCAGAAAGACCCAAACCAAGTTCCGTTGCCCAGACATGAAGTGCGTCTTGATTGTTCTAAGGAAGCCCAGTGACACCACGGTCAAGTGAATGGTTGATCGCCAAAACACAGGCTGTTCAAAACCACCCCGCGGCTCCGCAAGAGAAAGATGTGGCAATCTGCTTCCGTGAAAATTATAGCGTAGAAAAGTATAGAATTGTAGCCTAGGAAATGACAGCCTGGACTGTGTTCTGTAGGTCACAATGAGTTGGAATCAACTCAATAGCAAGGAAGCTTCTGGTAGTCCAAACTTCCTGATGGTCCAAAGGCATTAGGTTAGGGAACACAACTCAGGTCTACCTGAGACTTAAGCACTGGTTTCCAGTGCTTAATTCTATCATTAGCTATTCCCTATGTCCTGCTGTTGGTGCCTGGAACAAGTTCTGTGGAACGGGTGTTGTGTTAGAACTGAGTTTGCAAGTCTGGGAAGCAGAAGGCTAAGTTAGAGGAGGTGCGGTGATTGGGAAGTTTTATGCCTGGGCTGTCACCCACAAGTGACTACAAAGTTCCAAACCTGAGTGGTTTGTTCGTGTTCAGAGGTAAGGCACACACACACACACACACACACACACACACACACACCACCAGCAGCATTTTATTAAAGCAATGGGTCACTTCTAATGAAATGAAGGAGGTCCCTCTTGAGAACTGAGGACATCTTAAGCAGAGATAGAATACACTTCACGCAGGGAGCAAACCGAGGTGAAGAGGAACATTGTCTAGGGAGCATTCTGGTTCTTAACAGGCACTTTTAAAGGGAAAGGGGTGGACGCTCTGCCGATGGTCAAGCAACTTTGAAATCAGTTGCTTGTTAGTCTTTGGGTCTCAGACACCGTTTCTTTCCGTTTTGTCTGGGCTGCTGCTCTGGGTCAGTATGTCCCAGAAGGTGTCAGCATTCTCTCTGAGGACAGTCCCGCGTCAGGATTTTCCCTAGGGCCTGACTACAAGGTTGAGGTGTTTAGTAAGCCAGTTTTCACAAAGTCCTTCATTCATTACAAACCTCCAGCTACTCCAAGGGAGAAAGGTAAGGCTTTCTACAAAAAAAAAAAATAGAAAAGAGTTACAGTCCAGGAAACCCACAGGTGCAGTTCTCCACAGTCCTGTAAGTCAGACTGGGCTCAATGGCAGTGAGTTCAGTTGTGTGTGTGCGGCCTGGGCTGCTAACAGAAAGGATAGCCATCTCAGTCCACTCCGGAGGCACCTCAGAAGAAAGGCCTGGTTCTCTACTTCTAAAAACCCAGGGGAGCACAGATGTGCTCAGAAACACAGGGGGTCCCTAAGACCATGACTTATCCTGATTGATTTGAGATAAATGGAAACCAAAAAACATGGAGCATCATTCTAGAATCAATCAAGATAGTCCCTTCTTCGCTTCCGGGTGGCCCCGTGGGTTCCACCTTGGGGTGCTAACTACAAGGTCAGACATCTGAAACCACCATCCGCTCCACAGGAAAAAGACGAGCCTTCTACTCAGGCTCAGAAGCCCACCGGGGCAGTTCTACTCTGTCCTATAGAGGCACTATATTTTGGAGTGGACTCAATGGTAGTGAGATTACACACACACACACACACACATACACACACACACTCACTCACACTCACACGCATACACACTGTCCTTCTTCCTGTGATTGAAGGATGGCCTTGATTGTTTTCTCAACCCGGTTACCAGCTCATTTACATGATTCCCTCCAGCGATCCTGTGAGACCCTCGATAATCTCACAGGATTCGGAGTCATAGTCCCTGTTCTGACTCCCTGGTGCTGCCATAACAGAAACACCACAGTGGCGGCACCTGAGGGCAGACACATATTTTCTCACAGTCCAAATTTAGACCGCCTGTCTGCTCTAGAGGAAGGTGTCTCTAGAGAAGGTCTCTGTCTCTGGTCCCAGCACTGGAGATCTTTGCTGGGCATCTTTAGTTCAAGTGTGCTTGCTTTTCTGCCGGATCTACCCTTTTTAGAAGCTAGATTGGGTGCAAAGCACACCTTACATGAGCATGGCTTCCTAACATTACGAGGAAAAACCAATTCGCAGACGTGATTAAATCCACAGAGGTAACCAACCTGTCGCTGTCAAGGTGATGCCCACACACGGCAAACCCTGGTGTTGTTAGAGTAGAACTTTATTCCCTAGGATTTTCTCTGAGAAGCACCCAGCACTCTACTCTGTAAGGTTTTCTTGCAATATTTACAAAAGCAAATTGTCTTGTCTTTACATTATAGGGGTTAGAATCGCAGCACACACATGTGCACCAACCCATATGGATCCCAACATAGATTTTTTGGGGGGTGGAGTGGGGTGGGGGGAGGGTGGAAGAAGATACAATTCAATTCGTAACAGTCCCAAACTGGTCACCACTCCATCACAACCTGTTCTAACCCCCTACCCTCAGAATCTGATCTTGTTTCTGGATTTCTAACTATGGTTTTATCTCCACGTTCCCTTGGGCCCACCCACCATTCTGCACCATACCATGGCCACGATGCTGACCCTCTTTCTGGATGAACTGCCATCAGGGATCCTAGGTGAGTAGGTCATTCCATCCTTAGACTGTAAGCGTTGTTGCGCAAGAATTTCTGAGCATCCAATCGGTGCCCAGGAGTCTTGATGGTGCTGTGGGCTAGGTGTTGGCCTGCTGACCACAAGGTTGCCAGTCTGAACCCACCAGCCGATCTTTGGGAGAACGATGGGGCCATCAGCTCTCAAGAGATTTATAGTCTCTGAAACCCAATACAGGGTTACTATGAGTCAAAATCAACTCCATAGCACTGTTTTTTGTTTGTTGTTTGGTTTTGCTTTTTTGTTTTGTTTTTACTGTAAAATGTGCTTTCATGGCAGTGGGTTTGGTGGTGGTTGTAATATGTGCCTCGGAGCCCTGGGGATGAAACGTTGAAGTGCTAGACTGCCATCTGAAAGGCTGGCGGTTTGGACCCACCCAGCGACTTTTCAGGAGAACGACCTGGTGATCCACTCTCATAAAGAAATATGGCGGCCGAGGCAATCCCATGAGGCAGTTCTACTCTGTCACATGGAGCTGCTATGGGTCAGCACCATCTCAAGGCTTCACAACAATAACGTGTGATTGGCCTGGGTGCTGGAGAGCCAAAGATGGTCCAGATAAACTCACCCTAGGGACTCTGACTGAGCCTAATGGGAAATGGAGATGACGGGTAATCAAATTACATGGGGACAGGTGAGGCCTGCAGTGATACAGGGGTGGTGGGAATATGGGGGACATCAGGGTGACGTCTGGAAGAAGCCAGTTTTCTAGAACAATAATGGAATGAAGGAAACCCATTGACACAGAGTATTTATCTCTGTTGTTTGCACCTCTCCTCTAGGTATGATGAGCAGGCTGTCAACAGATGGTAAGTGTGGGGACTGATAGCTTCCTGTGCTGGGCTTGCTTTTTCCTTACCCACCAGGGGATGCAGAATTATAGAGTCATTTATACCTCCCCCCCCTCAAAAGGAGCCCTGATGGTTGGTTTGACTTTGGGTTCCTAAACCAAAGGCCAGCGGTTCAAACTCTCCAGCTGCCCCGAGAGAATAATGAGGCTGTCTGTTCCTATAAAGAGTTACAGTCTCAGAAACCCTACGTCCGGGTGCTAGGCATCCAAATTGACTCGATGGCAATGGGTTTGGTTTTGATTAGGTGGGGCAGCGGTTACGCACTCAGCGGCTAACTGGAAGGTTGGCAGTTCAAACCCACCAGCCACTCCATGGTCTAAAGACCTGGCCATCTGCTTCCATAAAGATTGCAGCCCAGGGCACTTTACAGGCAGTTCTACTCTCACACAAGGTTTCTAGGAGGCACAAGGACATGATATGTTCCTAAAAGTGGCATGGTTGTGTCAAAGGGTGTATGCATTTAACACTGTGATGGGCATTGAACCACAGACCTTTCGGTCAAGGCTGGAGGAGAAGGTCTATGTCTCCACATGCTCACCAACACGGTCGTTGAGGGTTTTTTTTAGCTCACTCACCTAAAGGTGCACTGAGTCAACCCAGAGGGGCTGTGAGAAAAAAACATGCCTCTTTGCTGCCAGAAAGATCAAAACAAAACAAAAAAAGCAAAACTCACTGCCCTGGAGTCAGTGCTGACTCATAGTGACTCTCCGTGGGTTTCTGAAGCCCTGTCTTTCTCCTTCCGAGTGGCTGGTGGTTTCAAACTGCTGACCTTGTGAATCACAGCCCAACTCAGAACCATCAGGGCTCCTTCCCAGAAAACCCTCTGGAGAAGTTCCATCCTGGACCACATGGGGTCACCAGGAGTCAGACCTGGCTAGACACCAGTGAGTTTGGTGTTGTGGTTTTTACCAGCACACAGTATTATCAAACTATAAAATTTTGCTAATATAATGGCTGAAAACATACAGCCCCCAACTTTTTTATCGGCTAGAAGCCAACCCCCTAAATAAAGGTTCATGTCACAACTATCTATTACTAGTAGTATCATTCTATTTAAAACATTTAAAAAATATTTTTCTTTTAATTGACTCAGCTTTTTTTCTATGTGTGCAGTGTCTATGTATTTATTTTTTTAATATTTTAAAATCATTTTATTAGGAGCTCTTACAGATATTATAACAATCCACTATTCAATTAAATTAGATCAAGCGTAATTGTATAATTGCTGCCACCATCATTTTCAAAACTCTTTCTTCTTGAACTCTTTAATATCAGCTTCCATTTATGCCCTCTCTCCCTCACCCTACTCCCCAGGAACCCTTATTATTATATTATGTATCATTATTAATATTATTTTTGCTGTATCCTACACCATCCAATGTATCCGTTCACCTATAGTTCTGTTATTCGTTCCCCTCTAGGCATCATTGCTGTCAGCTCCCCCTTGCCTCCTTGCTTCCCCTCTCTTCCTGTACCCTTAGGGAATCATGACTCCCATTACTATTTCTGAAGTTTTTATCTATCTTGGATTTCATGTATCGAAATATATACAAATGAACATATGCAGGTCTAACAAGATTAATGAGGTAAAACTAGGATTATAATAGTAGGGAGGAAATATTAAAGAACTAGAGGACAGCTCTGTGTTTCCTCAGTGCTATACTACACACAGGATACATCATCCCTTCTTTGTGGCCCTCTGTGAGGGACTCTCCATTATCTTACAGGTGAGTTTTGGGTCTCCACTTTGTGCTTCTTCGCATCAATTTGATTACTTGTTTTTGAACTTCTGATACCTATTCCTGTTGACACCTCATGATCACACAGGCTGGTGTGCTTCTTCCATGTGGGCTTTGTTGTTTCCCTGCTAGATGGCCTCTTGTTTGACTACAAACCTGTAAGACCCCAGATGCTATTTCTTTTAATAACTGGGCACCATCAGCTTTCTTCACTACATTTGCTTATGCACCCATTTTCTCTTCAGCGATGGTGTCAGCAAGGTGAATATCATACATTATCACATTATTAGAACAAACTGTTCTTGTACTGAGGTAAGATTTAAGTAGAGGCCCAAAGTCCATCTGCTTCCTTTTTTGCATATATACATATAAATATATATACATATATATAGAAATACACTTATCTTTATATATTTACATATATACATCTATATTTAAACCTATGTATCTATATATGTATAATTTTTACTTTCTTGTTGCCTCTTTTTCTTTCCTCTTGCCCAAATTTCATGTTTACCCATTGTTCACCTCTCAGTAATTCCTCTCGGATACATTTCGATTGATCAAACACGATCAGGAATGCTACACCCTTCTCACCGTCAATTTTAGGTCCCACGCTCTTCCCCTCTCCCTGTCATTATTTGCCCCTCACTTCCCTTCCGCCACCTCCTTCTCTCCCATGCCCCCACTGGAACTGCTGGTCCCATTGTTGTCTCCTTGGGATTGCTTATCCTGCCTATCTTATATAGATAGACACCAAAAGGGGGAGAAAACAAAAGATCACACAAGTATTTCCCTAATTGTTGTCCTGACCCAGAGTAGATGGGTATCCCTCTGTTAAATAGCAAGCAGGCCATGTTATAATCCATCAGTCCAATCCCCTTTTCTTCCAGGGATCCATATCCAAGGACCCACTAACCTAGCAGCATGTACACCCTTTTAGTCCTCAGCATTTGTGACCAAGGGGCACACTTAGTACAAGACCCCATTGCTCTCCCTGCAATCAGGGATGGAGCGGCCTAGTGCCCCACCCCCCACCCTGTCGCACCTTTAGACTTTCAGTGTGGCCCCTTTGTGAATATCCCCCAACCAGTTCAGATGAGGTGCCAAGCACTGCCGCCTGACTCAAAAGTCTACAATTGAGATTCCTCAGGGACTTCATGGCTTTGTTACCATCACTGGTCTATGGCACTCCCCTCTTGGTTAGCCGCCATGCAGATGGGTCTATGTGGCCACATTCCCTGAACTGTATCTTCAGTGCTATTCTCTGTAGCACTGTCATCTAGGGAGGGGACACCATGTCCTGAGCTGGGCCTGGCCCTGTCCTCTTTGTGAAAGAGCTCCTCTGAGCAGGAATGTTGCCATCAAGGCTTGGCACATCAGAATGAGGTCTACTCTCTCTCTTTCTCCTTTCCTGTGGAGACATAAGCAACACCCTCCTCTTGAGTGAATTAGTGACTTTCCCCCCCATTGCCATCTTTTTTCTTCCCCCACTCCTCTGTGGGCCACAAAGGCATATGAGGGGGGTGGGATTCTTAAAAAAAAACCTCCAACAACTCCAAACTAACTTTATCTCCTTTGAATACATGAAAAACCAATATCACATGCCATAAAGGGGAAACCCCAAACCCACACCCATCGGGTGAGTACTGACTCTGAGGGACCCCATACATTCGTTATGTAAGGTTTCTAAGGCTTTGCAAAAATCTTACATGAACAGACAGCTTCCTCGTTCTTCCTTAAAGTGGCTGGTGGGTTTGAACCGCTGACCTTAAGGCAGAAGGCAAATTGTAAAATATAAATGTCGTGAAAGTAACGGTATTAAGTTATAATTTAGAGCACTAAGGTGTGCCCGCCCCAAGCCATAGCGTTTTTTATCATCTCATGCATGTGGAAGTCAGGCAACAAACAAGGAAGACAGAAGAAGAATAGATCAAGAGGAATTGTGGCGTTGGTCAAGAAGATTGAAATTGCCACTGGCTTTCAAAAGAACAAACAGGTCTGTGTTGGAAGGACAGCCACAATGCTCCTTAGAGACAAGGATGGCGAGGCCTCATCTCATGTACTTTGGACATGCTGCCTCCTTAGGTGTTGACTGGGGGCAGTTCTGCTCGGATCCCTAATGTAACCTACATGACTCTGCACCATGATTGACTCTGTTTCTGATAGTCTCCTGTATCAGAGCCAGGGAATCCCTGAGTGGTGCAAATGGTTGTCCTGGTACCCACCCAGAGACACTGCAGAAGAAAGGTCTGGCGATCTTCTTCAGGAAAACCAGCCATGACAGCTCAGCAGAGCACAGCTCTACTCTGACGCACTTGGAGGCACCAGAACTCAATGGCACCTGAACACCACCAGCAGCTCCACGTCACACCCATCCTTCCTACTGTTGTGCTCCCACAACAGCCCTCTTTCAGTCCTTCAAACTCTTCTCTAGCTCAGAACTGTGCCCAAGTTATTCCCAACTGCTGGGGGTGCTGTTGGTGGTAGAGGGGTGGGCGTGGGTGTTTGTGTGGTGGTTTACACATTTCTTCCACTGCCTAACTCTTACTCATCTTTCAGGTCCCCCAAAAGACACCTCCTCATCTGGATCCTCTTCCCTGGTGCCTTTGGGAGGTCAGTCGCCACCACTACCCCTATCAGAGCTTCTTAGTGCTAGGTGGCTTTAAACGAACAAGCATTTATCTCCTCACAGCCGTAGAAGCTAGATGTTCACATTCAGGGCACCAGCTCTGCCTTTTGGCTCCGGGGGTACACCTCAACTTCTCTAGCATTCTTCTCAGCGTTCCTCGGTCCCTTTTCAGTCAGCCTCCACATGGCCTGGTTGTGCTTGCTTGTCTCTGTGCCACAGGAGCCCCATCCGTGCACTGGTTAAGTTTTCGGCTGCTAACCGAAAGGTTGGTTGTTTGAATCCACCAGCTGCTCCATGGGAGAAAAGACCGGAAGATCTGCCTCTGTGATGATTTCTGCCTGGGAAACCTATGGGGCCGTTCGACTCTGTCCTGTAGGGTCTCTAGGAGTTGCAACCCACTTGCCAGCAATGGGTTCATTTTAAAATTTTATCTCTGTGTCTACACTGCTCTTAAAAAAATTCCCTCATTTAGACTTTATTTCTTCTTCTTTTTTTTACCATATATACTCATGTAAAAGCTGAGGGTTTTTTTTGTTTCATGATCTTAATTTTAAAAAATCATTTTATTGGGGGGTCATACAACTCTTATCACAATTCATACATATATCCATTGTGTCAAGCACATTGTACATTTGTTGCCCTCATCGTTCTCAAAACATTTGATAAGCCGAGTTTTTTAGCACATTTTTAATGCAGTTTCTGTGGTAAAATTAGGTGCCTCAGCTGATACTTGGGTCAGCGTATACTCGAGTATATACAGTAAGTGGTTTTCTTGCTATAGTATTCGCATGTACATTTCCATGGTTACATCGCCTTTAAAATGAGTTGTAGATACATAATCACAATCCGTTCTAGTGCTCCCTCCCCTCTTCCACATTCATTGTTTGCTCCCCAAACCCCCTCACCCTCTCTATCCCCCCCATCCCTGATAAACTACTGCATCCGTTATTATCTCTATGCATCTACTCTTTCTGTGCTTCTCAAACTAGAAAACCCAACAGAAATAATAACAAAAGCAAAATAAAATGGCAAGAAAAAAATAATAATAATATAAAGATAAAAATACAAATAAAGAGTAAGATAGAAAAGACCACCATCCATATTTTAAAAGCCAGGGAAGAAATTTCTGTTGTGGAACAAGTGAGAAATATTTAAGCCTAGAACAAATTCAGGTTGGATCAAGCGGGAGGTCAACGGACCAAGTATCATATTATATCATGGTTTGATCCACCCTAATCGAGTTTACAATAATCTCTGTCTGGTTGTAAAGCTGTTTGAGTCCCTTGCCTGTGGCTAGAAAGGATCTGCCAGAGGCTTTAATTAGATATTCTGCAGATTGATTTTGGGCTCCCACTGTCCTCCTTAGCCTTCTCCACATTGGGTGGTCACAACTTACGCTCTAATCCTGTTCCCTTCCTCATATTTGGATTTTGTTATGATTATCTTTGGGTCGCACCACCTGGTGTGCTTCCATGGGGACTTAGTTGGCCCCTCACTTAGATGGCTGCTTGTTTGAATACAAGCCACTGCTCATTTTGTATTTCATCGTTTTAGGTTTAGGACACACCCCACACTGAGATGGCTTCATTAACATAACACAAGAAAACCCTATTCCCCAATGCACTTGCATCTATAGATATGAGGGTAGGATTTCAACACCTATTTCTGGGAGACACAAATCTAGCCATAACAACCCCTTTATAGGTTCCGACTGTACCCTGCAAGCAACTCTGGTGGCACAATGGTTAAGTGCTCTGTTGCTTAGGTGTTTGGAATCAACACAGGGACTTCTCAAGAGCAAAAACCTAGTAATGCTCTCCTGTAAAGATTGCACGCTGGGAATCCACTTGGGGCAGTCCTACTGTGCCCACTAAGGGTGCTGTGTGTTAGAATCAACTTGAAAGCACGTAGCAACAACATTCTACTCTTCAGGTCTACCCAGAAACAGCCCACCTGTACTCAATTTCTGATGTCCGATCTGCAGACTCAACTCCCTGAGCACAAGGATTTCGACTACTTCGATGTCCAGCATATCCTCCATACTGTGCTCAGTACCCAGAACATGGTGTGCGGAGCCCTGTTCTATAGGAACCCCTTCATAGCAATACCACACTTACCTGCAGGCAGAGGGCCTGACGGTGTCATTTCGCTGCGCATCTTAGCAGTAAATGGAGGGAATTGGATGGTCTCACCTCCACTAGCGTGTCCATCGCTGCTCTCCTCTGATTGGTCAGGGCAACTTCTTTGCTGGTGTGCAGGAATTGTGTCTTAACGCCCATTTCTCTCTCTTCTGCCCTTTCATTGGAACCCCGGCGGTCTGCCTTCTCGCCTCCAGATAAAACACAAGAAGAGAGTAAGTACAATGACACTCATCACGCTGTATCCTAGACGTAGATTCTCTTAACATGCTGGGGTCTTGAAAGTCCCTTAGAAATCCCGCGGGTGGGGGACAAGCATCACTCTCCACACACTGGGAGCCTAAAAAACTAGGTGGTGCCTCCTTACCACCGCCAGCTGCTCTGGAATGGATCCCGTCCAAAGGTCCTGGATCGACTGGGAGGAAAATGTGAACCAGAACTCAAAATCATAAGAGATCAGGTCAGATAGCGAGATGGGACCCTTGACACGATGGCCCTTAGTCACCCTTATGGTCTGAAACTCACCCTTCTGTCAGGAGTACCAACCCTGTCAGATTAAAGGGGCAGCATTTACCCACGGACAGCATTCTGAGGGTTAGGAGCGAGGTAGGAAGGAAACCGGAAACATCGGGAGAACACAGGTAAGTGATGACACATCAAAGGGAATGCAACCGGTGAGTTGAAACAAAATGTGCACAAGTTGTTGAATGTAAAACCGATGACCTGCTCTGCAAACCTTCACCTGATTAGTATTATGTTTTAAACCTTTAATGGAGGGTTTGGTCCAGCTCCTGGCATCTAGCTGTTGGTCTAGGGCTGGAGAAAAGTCAGCCCCAAATGGTAAACCCCCGTGACGGGCAGGGTGATGAGAAGGAAGAGGAGTCGACTTGTAGTAACGGCCCATTTCTGCCTGGTGGCGTCGTGGTTATACGTTGGGCTGCAATCTGCAAGGGTGGCAATTTGAAACCACCAGCAGCATCTCGAGAGAGGGGTGGGGCTTTCTACTCCCATGAACAGTTACAGTCTCAGAAACCTGCAGGGGAAGTTTACCCTGTCCTATAAGGTTGCTATGAGTCAATTTGACACGATGGCTGAGTTTGATTTCTTTTGTATGAGTATGTGCCAATTTCTATGGTATAAACACTCTCAGCCTGATTTAACAGGAAGTGCAGTGGCTTAATAATGGAATTATTTCCTCTCATGCTGGAGAGCTAGGTTCTATTCCTAGCCGTTACATCGCAGGTGCGCCCATCATTGGCTAGCGTGTTGCTAGAGTGCTGAATAGGTTTCAGCTGAGCTTCTTGACTCAGATGGACTAGAAAGAAAGGCTTGACAAGCAGCTTCCAAAAAAACTGCCAATGAAAACCCTTTCGATCAAAATATTCTGATTCCATCATGCATGGGACCATGATGTGCTGGGGATCAACTTGACAGATGTTAAAACAAGTTTAGAATTAAGAATATATATCTTGTAAAGGAATAATGGATTGTATTAGGGTGTGTGCTAATATTGACCCTACTTTTTAAAAAATGTCTGCTTACTTTTTCATATTGATCCATCAATTTCTGGCTCTGCTGCATGCTCCAGTGAGAAGTAAGTTATCTTTCTGCTTTTGTGAGCAGCTCATTTGCTTTCCGATCCTGAGAAAGAGAGAAAACAGAAAGGAGAAAAATGGTTGTACTTTTCAACCTGGGACCTAGGTTGAAAGAAACCCTTTGCTAGGAGGAGTGGTCTCAATTTACTACCGCCATCTTGGAGGGCAACTCAAGATGGACAGTAGAGGTCCATACATTCATGGGAGAGTTATGGGCGTGGGTCTGGAGTTGCATGGTCGATTGCATACAGGAGCATATACATCTACAAGGTGCTTAAGTTTTATTCTATTCTCAAAGATTAAAACCACTTCCCCAGAATCCACAAACATGTTCAGTTGTGTGTTTGTTGGAGACAAAAATAAGGAGAATTAAAGAGGACAAACATACAGTTTCCTCAAGCTTTCTCCTGGACCCAGGAGAGATAAAAAATGGCAGGTCATGCTGATCATTTGATATTCTTCCCATTCTCTGGAGGCTGAATCCCCATAGAAACTGAGGACCTGGGAGATTCTGCCCACCTGGATAGTTGGATTTCCAAAGGATCAAGTGTTACAGAATCATCTAGAGCTGTGGTTCTCAACCTTCTTAACGCCGTGACCCTTTAATACAATTCCTCATGTGGTGGTGACCCTCTGAACCATAAAATTATGTTTGTTGCTGCTTCATAACTGTAATTTTGCTACTGTTATGAATCTGGTGACCCCAAAGGGGTCACAACCCACAGGTTGAGAACTGCTGACCTAGAGCCACCATCCTAACCCCACACTGTCCCATGAGATATGGGAGATCATTTCACTTCCCTCCATTGGTAAGATTTCTTTTGCGGATCAGCAGGGTGGGATGGAAAGGAGCCCTGGTGGTGCGGTGGTTAATTCCTTGGCCATTACCCCCAAAGTTGGTGGTTCAAACCCACCAGCAGTGATCCCTGGGAAGAATGATCTGCTGATCTGCTCCTGTAAAGATGAGAGTCAAGAACCCCCAGGGGGTAGTGCTACTCTGTCCTATGGGACTGCTGGGGGCTGGACTCTACTCAACAGTGAGGAAAGGCAGAACTAATACCTGTCTTTTCATCTCTCCTCTGTGCTCCTGTTGGTGCCAAATGACTCCTTCTGGGTTTCCTCCTCCATGCCGCTCGCATCCCAACAGTATTAAAACGTAAGCTATTTCTTTCACATCACCCCCTCTGTTTTCATCCTTTTTTGTCTTTGCTCCTAGCCACAGTTAATTTCTCAGAGATCTCAGATTCCAACCGTCCTCTTTAACACACACACACACACACACATAACCCAGGGGCTAAAATAATCAGCGATCACCTTCAAATTTAGTGGGAAGCCCAATGGGAACCAATCCCTTTTCAAATCAGGGCTACATCTAAGGTTGTTATGGTGGCGATGGTGATGATGATGACAAATATTCCATGAGGATGGTCCAGACACCAAACACCAGTGGGAGCACTTTTTATGTATAACCTTATTTATGTCTCACACCTTCCCCACAAGGTAGACGTTCTTCAACTTTGATTTCCTGAGGTACAAAGAGATGAAGTAACTGAAAACCAGATCAGCTTTAGAGTATGTAAGGGTCCACTGAATCCATGGAGAGTGGCTGCCTCCCCATCGATGCCCTGTATGTCCTTGAAGCCATGCTCAGTGTCCCACTCAATGAAGTTGTCAATGGACTCTTCCTGCTCACTGCCTAAGTCCTATCTGCTCACCATAATCCCTCCCCCCACCCTTAGACATTGTTATTATTTGCACCCAATCTCCATGTCTTCTTCTTTTGTGATTCTCCGTGATGCCCTCTTCTCTCACGGCTCCTTGGACTGAACATTCTGGATCCTGTCTGAAACTTTGGTCTTGGACCACACTTTCTTTGGACGGTGGCCTCAGAGATCCTAGGTAAATATCTCATCCCATTCAGACCTTTTGGGATCGTTGTGGGAAAGGTATTTAGCAAGAATATTTTAAAAATATATATCTATTATGGGCTAGAGGAGCCCTGGTGGCATAGCAGTTATATGCTGGGCTGTGATCTGTGGAGTCAGTAGTTCAAAACCACCAGCCACTTCTTGGGAGAAAATCAAGGTTTTCTATTCCCATAAAGAATTACAGTCTCTGAAACTCACTGTGGCAATTGTACCCTATTGGCAATTGTACCCTGTCCTATAAGGTTACTATGAATCAGAATCGACTTGATGGCAGAGTTGTTGTTTTTAATGGCATCTAGTGGCACAGGTAAGTGCTCAACTGCCAACCAAAAGTCAGTGGTTCAAATCCATCAACCACTGTGACAAAGCAAAATGTGATAGTTTGCTTCCATAAAGATGACAGCGGTGAACACCCTGTGGGACAGGTCTCCTCTTTCCTATAGGGTCGCTGTGAGTCAAAGTGACTCATTGGCCAAAGGTATGTGCCAGGTAAGAACCCTGAATGAGCAAATGGTTTCTGCTTGACTCCAGGCTAAAAAGTCAGTGGCTCAAACCCACCCAGTGGTGCTCTGGAAGAAAGGTCTGGCAATAGTAAGCTGTACGGATAACTGCCAAGAAAACCCTGTGGTTCTACCACCATGAGTCAGAATCAACTCGACATCAATAGGTTTGGGCTCTGTTTGTTTCATGTGCTAGGACAGAGTCCCTGGGGGGTGCAACAAATGTACTTGGTCGCTGACTGAATGTGTCTATCCAGAGGTGCTTCAGAGGAAAGGCGTGGGTTTCCCCCCCCAAAAAAAATCAGCGTTGAAAACTCAGTGGAGCCCAGTTGTACTTTGACACACATAGGGGTGCCACGAGTCTGATCCGGTTCAATGGCTCAGGCCATGTGAGAGTACCAAAATGATGATTCAGATGTCATGGCTCTGTGGGAACTTATACTCTGATGACAGAGACACACAAGTAGTATATGTTGTTGTGACTCTCAAAATCACTGCCATTGCACCAATTCTGACTCAGAGTGATCCTGTAGGACAGGGTAGAGCTGCCCTTAGGAGTTTCTGAGACTGTAAATCTTTACTGGAGAAGAAAGTCTGTCTTTCTTTTGAGGAGCTGCTGGTAGTTTCGAACTGTAAACCTTTCAAAAGATAGCAGCTCAATGTGTAACCACTAGGCTCCAGGGACAGCAAGTGGATTCTGATTGACAAAAACCCTATGTGTCAGAGTAGAACTGCCCCAAGGGATTTCCTGTGGGACAGCTAACTAACCCCAAGGGCAGCAGTTTGAAGCCACCAGCCACTCTTCAGGAGAAACATGAGGCTATCTATTCCATAAAGATGTACAGCCTTGGAAACCCAAAGAGGGCAGCTCTCCTCTGTCCTCTAGGGTCACTGAGTGAGGATTTACTTGATGGCAGTGAATTTGGGGTGGTTTTTTTTGGAGACTGGACAAGTCTTTTCTCTTGCAGAGCTGCTTGGATGGGCTTAGATCTCGGACCCTTGGTTAGTAGTTGAATGCTTAGCCATTGGGCTACCCAAACTTCTTAAGTGACAGATAGTTACTTTCAATATATAGTATGAATCAATGTCCCTAGAAAAGGATCAAAGAGGACAGTTGGAAAGGCAAAGGTGGCCGGGAATGTGCCAGCCCTTCCCAGAGGAGGGAAGGCTTGGGATGAGCTTGTCAAACCTCTGACCCGCAGACATTGATCATGCTGCTTTCTGCAAATCAATTCGTCTGTTTTCTCCCTTAGGTCTGCTGAGTCTGCAAGTGTTAAATGGTAAGTCGATCAACTGGACTGCTTGACTCTATTGCTTACTGTTTTCCCACTGCACTGTCATGGTGGATTTATACATAGACACACACACATGTAGATGCATATATATATGTATGTACACACACATACAGATGCATGGACATACATGTGCACACAATATACAATATGTATCCATACACACACATGTATGCACACATATGTACACACACTACACATACATATAAGTATATATGCATATACATACACACATATACATATACATTCTGGCATGTGAGTTCATTTGCTTGAGTGCACAGAGACATAGAGTTATTAATTTTTATGTGAGAAGGACCATTAGATATCATCTCAAATGTTTAGCATTTTTTCATTTATCCAACAGATATCAATTTTTTCTTTTATATCATTGCAAAATACAGACAACAATTGTTAATTCAACAATGTTCAGGTATACAAGTCACAGGTATATAAATTACATTAATCATGCTGTGTAATCATCACCTATGCTCATTGCCAGATTTCCCATCACCATAAATAGAAGCTCACTGTTTCCTAAACAGTGACTCACCTTTCTCTCTTCTTCCTGTCCCTGTAACCCCTGGTAAACTTTGGCCTCCGTATATTTGCCTTATCTTGTTATTTCATGTGAGCAAGTTCATACATTACTTGTCCTTTTATGACTGCCTGCCTGTGGTGTCTTAATGTTCTCTGTTGTGCCCCTCTAGTTTCTAATAGCCATCGTGATAGTTACACAGAACTTACAGACAAAATTCAGCATGAAGGGGTTTACTAAGGAAGTTAAGTTGTAATGCCAGTGAGAAATGTTCAGAGTTGAGTTGTTTATCAGGACGTGCTACAAAGTTCTGTCAAGTCTGCTAATAAATGCCCCAAGGGCCTACCACTCTGCCATAAGCCTCAACTTGAAGGCATTGAGCCTAAACTTGCTGTGTCAGTAAGTCCAATTTCCCCAATTAAGTGCCCAGAGGCACCCCACTCTGCAAGCCAGTCAGCCTCTTGAACAAAAGCACTCATCTTTACTTGCTCCAAGGGTTGGGAATCCCATCCCTCTGTTTTATGCTCTGGCTTCTTGTTCTGCTGCTGCTCCTCTTAAGGTATAACTATGTTCTGGAACCAGGAGGTTCTCTGTATAGGGATCTTGGATCCAGAAAATAGAGTCCACTCCTGGTTCTTGCTGGTAATAAGATCCCTCTTCCTGCTTTGCAAAGGGCTCATTTTATACACAGTAGGATGTCACTCTAAGGAGTCTTGTTCAAAACTACTCACAGATGAATCTTTTCAGTTTCTTCTTCACCTTCTTACCAGATCCAGGCAGGGAAAGGTTGTTTGGTGAGACTTAGAGACTTTGGCTAGACAAGCCATATTAAATAATTCACTGCCCCTGCACTGATTTCATTCAGCAAGATGTTTTCAGGGCTCATTCAGGTTATACCACGCATCAGGTCTTCATTTCTCTTTACGACGCAATAGTAGTCCATGGTGCATGCGCACTACATTTTGTTTGTCCATTCATCTGTTGACGGGCACTTAGGCTGTTTCCAAATTTTTGCTATCGTGAACAGAGCTGCAATGAGCATCGACACACATGTGTTTGTGTTGCTGCTTTCAGGCCTGTTGGACGCAGACCTAAGAGAGGGATTGCAGGGTCATAGGATAGCACTGTGCTTAGGAACAGCCAAACTGTTTTCCACAACAGCTGCACCATTTTTTTGAATTTCCATCAACAGCACCAATTTTAATTTCCACCAAGAATGAATGGAGGTTCCACTTTCTCCACATCCTCATCCACACAAGACACTTAAAAAACCCAACCAAACAAAAACAGAACCTTTTGATGGTGATCTGGGTGAAAGTGTATGATCATCAGTTGTACACCCAACAGCTCGTTTACACGCTGCGTCCTCTCGTGGTTTGCAGCATCAACTTAGCCCACTTTCTCCCCAAGTTTCCCTTCATTGCAGCATCAACTTAGCCCACTTTCTCCCCAAGTTTCCCGTTCCTAGTCCTTCTTCCTGCCTTCTGAACTTTGTCCTTGGGCAAATAGCGTCCTTGTGACCTTAGGCAGCTGACTATTCTAAGATGTGCCGACCTCTCCAGCTTACTGTTCCCCTGACAGACCTGTTGCTTGGCTGAAAATTGAGTCAAGGAGTGAGGTCAGTTCCAGTCCTCAAGGGTTAACAAGGACCATAGTCTTGGGGTCCCCCAGTCTTTATCAGACCAGTAAGCCTGGTCTTTTTTAGGATTTTGTTCTGCATCGCTCTCTCCTACTCTATTGTGGACCTGATAGTGTGACCCCTTTAGAGCAGTTGGAACTGGTATCTGGGCACCACCTCGTTCCTCTGGTCTCAGGTTTATGAAGACTGACGTTCATTTGGCTCTCCTTAGTTCACTGGACGAATGATGTCCATGAGTCACTGTGCTTCTTTCCTCTGGACAGGAAGAGATGGTTTTACATAGTTACATTTTAGGTAGACACTCAAGCTTTTAAGACCCCAATCTCTTCTTACTAAAGTAGCATGTAGAGCATTGTTTTTGTGATCTTTGTTCTGCCAATTGACCTTGGTGTCTCCCAAGACTATGGTCCTGAACCCACGGGCCCAGAGTCTCATTCCCTACAGTATTTGGTTATAGTTAAGAAACTTTTATAACTTTGTACCTTGTATGCTCCAAGTTTTGGATATATTTGCAGCAAAGGAAAATCATCATGTAAAAATATCCTCTGTCAAACCTGTATATATTTGTGAGAATGCTCCCTCTCTCCTTCCCACACCTGTTCAGCCTGTATATCTATCCAAGAATTTGCTCATAGATTACCATTGTTGCAGGGTTGTAGATATAATACTATTTGCCTCTGTCACACTTAACTCTTGAATTCCTCCCAATGGCTTCCCCTGCCACCACGATATTTTTGCTACCTTCTCTATTTCTATATTGTCTACTTTTTCACCGAAGTTAACATGGGTCTACCCACTATCCAGTGTCTAAGCCTCCTTTCCCCTCCCATCCCTGGTAACCATGAAAGGCTATTTCTTTTAGTGTGAAAAAAAATTGTGTTTGACTTTTTATAATAGTGGTTTCATATGATAGTTGTCCTTTTTTAAATATATATTTGTCCCTTTGTGATGAACTAGTTTCATTCAACTTAAGACCCTGCAGGCTCATCCATGTTATGAGATGTTTTGCAGATTCTCCATTGTTCGATAATATTTCATAGGATTCCATTGTACAGTGCAACACATTTAAATTAATATTTGCTACGTTTTGTCAAAGGATGCTGGTGGTATAGTGGGTTAAGCCCTGGACTGCTAGCCACAAGGTCAGTGGTTCAAACCCACCAGCTACCTCTCCCCACCCGCACCAAAAACAATGAAACTTTCTGTTTCAGTAATGCTTTATAGCAGTTTATTGTGTCCCGTAGGGTCTCTATGGGTTGGAATCAGCTCAATGGTAGTGGGTTTTTGGTTTTGCTCTTTTCATAGCTTTGTTATAGGTGCTGGATATAGAGCAGAGAATAAAAATACAAAGGCATGTGACCCTAGAGGAAACTATTGTATGATCTCAGTTAGATGAAATGGCTATAATAGGCAAATGCACAGAGATAATAGCTTATCAGTGGGTACCAGGGGCAGGAGAGAGGGGGAAGACAGTCCTTGTTTAGGAAGTGGTGGGCTTCTGTTCATAGTGATGGAGAATTTGACATCTAGTATGGGGGGTGGCTGCACGACATGATGAAAATAAGTTAGGGATGAATGCCCCTAAATTGTGCATGTGAAACATGTTGAATTGTCAAGTGGTGTGTCATACATAGTTTATGATAATGAGAAAATGGTATTCAAATGGGAAGAGAAAGACGGCAAATGAATAAGGTCTGTTGGATGCTGGGAAGTGCTATGGGAGAAGGATAATACAGGAAAGGGCCATGCAGTGTGGGAGAGGCTGGTAATTTGGTAACAGGTGGTGACGGAAGTGACTCTTGAGCAAACCAGAGAGAACATAGTGTTAGCTTGGTCTCTAGAAGAGCAACACCAGTGACAGACCTATAAAGCTGTAGTTACATAGCGAGAGATATGTAGAGAGACAGAGACATAGATAAGGAGTCTGGTTGAGTAGCGGTTATGTGTTGGGCTTTGAAACCATCAGCCTCTCAGGAGAAAGACAGGGCTTTCAACTCCCGTAAAGAATTACAATCTTGGAAACTCGCCAGGGCAGTTCTACTCTGTCCTGTTGAGTTTCCAGGAGTTATCACTGACTCAGTGGCAGTGAGTGAGAGAGAGAGAGCTATAGCTTGAGACATAGACATAGATGAGAGAGAACACTAGCTCTGCCAGAACACCCATTTCTAGTCAGCAGGCAGGCCTTACCCCTCAAGAAAGCATTCCATTGAACTGCTTGCAACATCCAGGAAAGTGATTATATTATATGACATTACATTGTGGTATAGCAACCAGTCCATTGTCTGTCAAACTACTGAGAATTATAGCTAGCCAGATTGACACACAAAGCGTGCCATCATAGGGAGCGATTCATGAGGTTCTGTTTTCAGACAGAGGTCCTGAGGCAAGAGCGTGTCTGGACTTAAAGAACAGCGAATGCCAGTTCGATTCCTTCTTTCCTCATCTGAGACACCCAGTGGTACATCCAATTTACACTTTGGTCTCCTCCAGTATTTCAGCATTCCCTAACGGTTTCTTTCTTTCTTTCTTCTTTCCCCCCCTTCTCCTTTCTTTATCTTTTTATTTGTAGAAGAAACCAACGACTGCAAGGAAGGTAAGTCCGTGGAACCCTGCTTCTCGGGCTGCTCTCTCTCCATTCTAGAGCATGGTGAGTTCACTGGGCTGGGCTGTCATAATGTCTTTGGAATCTCTGGGTGGTGCAAGCGGTTGGGCACTTGGCTACTAGGCAGAAGGTAGGCAGTTGGAATACACCAGATGTGCCTCGGAAGGAAAGCCTGGTGATCTGCTTCTGAAAGGTCGCGCAGCCCTGGGACCCTCTGAAGCATGGTCCCACTCGGCACACATGAGGTCACCATGAATCCAAATCTCCTTGAAAGCCACAACCTATTGCAAGAGCCTCCGGGTGGTGCCAATGGTTAGGTACTGGACACCTAGTCAGAAGGTTGGAGAGTCAGGCCCGCCCAGAAGTGCCTTCGAAGACAGTGTTGGTGATCTGCTTCTGGGAGATCGCATCCTTGAAGACGCCATGTAGAATGATTTGATATATGTGTTCCTCCCAATGAATAAAAAGAAGAAAAAATTTAAAAGGTGAGCAAAATAAACTACCCAAAAAAGTGTTTAAAAAAAGAAGAAAAAAAAAAAAGAAAGCCCCATGGGGCACTGTTTTACTAGCATACACAGGGCCGCCAGGAGATGGAACCGACTATGGGGCAACCGAGAACAGCGACATAATAATGCCACAAGAAGGTAATAAAAATCAGGATTTTCAGAACCTGAGAGGCTGTTTTCTTTAAGAGCATCTTGATGATGTTCAACAGCCTTCGAGCCACCCTGTCCCTTTCATACCACTCATTAGTATAAAACAAAACAAAACAAAACAAAAAACACCCAAACCCATGGCCTTATTTTAGGTTTCCAAGACTTTTTTATATCTCTATGGGAACAGACAGCTTCATCTTTTTTCTGGAGGCGTGGCTAGTGGGTTTGAACCTGTGACCTGGCAGTTACCAGCTCAATGCTTAGCAGCTCGATGTGTCACCTGCCACACCACTAGAACTCTCTGCTCTTGTTCGAAGTACTGAGATCGGAATGGAGACCCTTTTGCTTTTTCTTAGTTATTGCTACCGGGGGCCATTGAACCCTCTCCCCAAGATTGTATCAATGCCAAAGAACCTCAGTCACATGCTCATACTTTCTCAGCTCCTTCTGTTTCACAAACATTACCCAATGTCACCCCAACTCACAGACATCAAGTTCATGCTGATTCATAGTGACCCTGTAGGAAAGGATAGAACTGCTCCTGTGGGTTCCGAGACGGAAACTCTTGATCAGCGTGCAAAGCCCTGCCTTTCTCCTGTGGAGCAGCGGATGGTTTCAAACTGCTGACCTTCCACTTAGCAGCCTGACTTGTAACTGCTGCACCACGAGGGGCATATACGGTCAGACCCAAACCAAGGTCACTGCCATCAAGGGTATTCCAACTCCTGGCCACCCTAAAGGACAGAGTGAAACTGTTCCGCCCAGAGTCGAACCGCCCCAGCGGGTTCAAGACTGTACTCATCACAGGAACAGATCCAGAGGGCTTTTCTTTTGAGGAGCAACTGATGGATCCCAACTGAGCTCCTCCAGGTGAGCAGCCCAACTACTGCCCTCCTCTACCCCGAGGGCACCTACCAGGGTGGCTTCCAAATAGACGTCCAACCAATGGAGTCTTGTGGTATCAGAGGCTTCAAAAAGTTCGTGGAGAACGTCTAATACCTACGCATTCTATTTTTCCTCAAACTTTTTGAAGGCTTCCTCATACCGAGAGATTGAATTTATTGGCATTTTGAAAAGGACAAGACTATAGTGACAGAGGGAAAAAAAGGTCCGGGGTTCCCAGGGGTGAGGAACAGGGTGAGCACGAGGGAATTTTCTGTTGGTTTTGTTTCTTTTTGGCCTGGTGGAACTAGTCTGTGTCTTTATTATGCTACTTCTTACATGAATCTAAACATACTAAAATCCATAAAACTGTAAACCAGGAGAAAAAAACCCTCAAATTTATTGTAATTTTTAAAATAAAAAATATATATGTTCTTTATTTTGGGGGGCCTTGGTGGTGTAGTGGTTACCTGTTGACTGCAATGCACATGGTTGTCAGTTCAAAACCACCAGAAGCTCTGAGTGTAAAAGACCGGGATTTCTACTCCTGTAAACAGTTACAGTCTTGAAAACTCATGGGCGGGGGTGGGGGGGTCTCGATATGAGTCAGCATTCATTTAATGACAGTGAGAATAGATACACAAAAGGAGCCTTGGTGCCATAGAGGGTTGGTAACACAAAGTCAGCAGTTGACATCAAGGCTATGGGTTAGGCTGCTAACTACAAGGTCAGCAGTTCGAAACCACCAACTGCTCTGTGGGAGAAAGATGAGGCATTCTACTCCTGTAAGGAGTTACTGTCTCAGAAACTCATGGGCAGTTCTCCTCTGTCTTATAGGGCAGCTATGAGTGAGTTTGGTTTAAGTTTTATATACACAACCAAGCATACATCCATTCAAAATTTTGGCACTGACAGTCCAGTACCATTGTTTACACACTTCACATTGTGTCACCATTTTCACTGCCTCCACCTGTACTGTTTCATCATCACTAATTTAGATTCTTTATAAACAGTTGTCGGATTAAACTCACATCAATAATTTTTGTAAGAGACCACCACCATCAACAACAAAAAACCCTCACTGTCATTGAGTTAATTAATGCCTACTTCTAGTCCCTATAGGACAGGGTAGAACTGCCATGTTCTGAGTTCTGAGACAGTAACTCTTCTTAAAAAAAATCATTTTATTGGGGGTTCATACAACTCCTATCACAATCCATCCATCCATTGTGTCAAGCACATTGGTACATTTATTGCCATCTTCATTCTCAAAACATTTTTTTTTCTACTTGAGCCCTTGGTATCAGCTCATTTCCCCCCTCCCTCCCCACCCTCCCTCTCTACCCCTTGATAATTTATAAATTATTATTACTTTTTCATGTCTTACACTGTCCAGTGTCTCCCTCCACCCACTTTTATGTTGTCCATCCCCCAGGGAGGGTTTATTTTGTAAATCCTTGTAATCGGTTCCCCCTTTCTACCCCACCCACCCTCCACCCTCCTGGTATCGCCACTCTTACTACTGGTACTGAAGGAATCATCTGTCTTGGATTCCCTGTGTTTCCAGTTCCTATCTGTGCCAGTGTACATCCTCTGGTCTAGCGAGATATGTAAGGTAGAATGGGGATCATGATAGTGGTGGTGCAGAGGAGGAAGCATTTAAGAACTAAGGAAAGTTGTATGTTTCATCGTTGCTACACTGCACCCTGACTGGCATGTCTCCTCCCCGTGACCCTTCTGTAAGGCGATGTCCAGTTGCCTACAGATGGGCTTTGGGTCTTCACTCCGCATTTCCCCTCATTCACAATGATATGCTTTTTTGTTCTTTGATGCCTGATACTTGATCCTATAGACACCTTGTGATCATACAGGCTGGTGTGCTTCTTCCACGTGGGCTTTGTTCCTTCTGAGCTAGAGGGCCGCTTGTTTATCTTCAAGCCTTTAAGACCCCAGACGCTATATCTTTTGATAGGCAGGCACCACCAGCTTTCTTCACCACATTTGCTTATGCACCCGCTTTGTCTTCAGCGATCATGTCGGTGAGGTGAGCATCATGGAATGCCAATTTAATAGAAGAAAGTATTCTTGCATTGAAGGAGTGCTCTTTATGGGTAGAAAGCCCTGTCTTTCTCTCGTGGAGCACCTTTTGAACAGCTGATCTTGCATTGAGCAGCCCAAGGCGTAACCACTACACAACTAAGACTGAAGGCCAGCATTCTTGGTTGATTAGGCTAGACTGTTGCTGAGTTTAGGGAGCCTTGGTGGGGTAGTGCTTAGGTGTTGAGCTATGATCTGCAGGGTCGGCTGTTTGAAATCACCAGCAGCTCCGCTAGAAAAGGACTGGGATTTCTACTTCGGTAAACAGTTACAGTCCCGGCAGCCCACAGGGGGTCACTTTACATCAGCATTCACTTGATGGCAGTGAGTTTGGTTTTGCTTTGGTTGTTAAGTTTCATGACAGGGGAAAATGGGAACTGCTTCTACTGATTCTGTATGGATCTATCCGTATGGGTCCACTTTCCTGGTAAAGCATATGAATTAAGAGCTTAACACATTACCCATACTTCCACTGTATTCTGAGTAAATTGTCGTTACTAAGTGCTACTGAGTTAGTTTCTAACTCACAGTGACCCCATTACAACAGGATGAGACAGTGCCCGGCCCTGCGCCACCCTCACAATTGTGCTGCTTGAGCCCCTTGTTGCAGCCACCGTGTCAATCCTTCTTCCCAAGGGTCTTCCTTTCTTTTGCTGACCCCCTACCAGGATCTGGTCCTGCTCCAGGGACTGGTCCTCCTGATGATATGCCCAGATGATCCTGGCATAAAGCAGAAGTTATGCAGGTTCTCATATCAGAATTATTTGCCTGGTAGGATTTGAACAATGTAAACGTCTAGCTGGAAGACATGATTGCGTCTCTTTTGGAATAATCTTCAAAAGGGAAGCATTTATGGCCATTACAGTGAACCCTCGTTTATCGCGGTTAATCGGTTCTAGACCCTACCGTGATAAATGAAATTCCGCGAAGTAGGATTCCTTATTTGTAAATCAAATATTTTCGTAGTTAGAGCATAGAGGACATGAAAAAACACCCTTTAGTCACCGTTACACCCGTATTACCCAATTTATTAGACGAAAAAGGGAAAATACAGTAAAACATTTTGGACGTTACAATTATCATTTATTATTTATTATATTATTTATGGCAAAGCGTGTACAGTATGAGCCAATCAGTGGCAGTCATGACAGAGCATGCGCTGTTACGCAAAAACCGCGATAGAGTGAAGCCGCGGAAGTCGAAGCGCGAAGTGGCGAGGGTTCACTGTAAACTTCTTTTGCCTCAAAGAAAGAAATCCAGTTTGGTTTGACATCCTCATTCCTTATGAAACTCATAACTCTTCTTGGCCCTCAACCCTGATTAGTTTTGTGTGGTTTGAGGGACTGACACACGCTCAATGCCAGGGAGTCCTCCATGCAGATTCATAACGACCCCGTATGGATTCCTGAGGCTGTAACTGTTTAAAGGAGTAGAAAGCTCAAACTTTCTCCCACGGAGCCGCTGGTGACTATGAACTGTTGACTATGTGATTGCAGCCCGACGCATAACCACGGCACCACCAGGACTCCATGGTGAGGAACTAAAGGGGAGCTGAGGAATTCTGGTTGTGTCACCATTAAGTGGTTGGTGGCAATCCAAAAGCAAACCCACCTAGAAGCTACACAGGATAAAAGGTCTGTCTGCCTGCTCCAGTGAAGATTACAGCCTAGAAAACCCAATGGGACAGTTGTCTTGTGTTCATCACCAACGCAGTAGCACCTCACAACAATGAGGGGGCTATGCTGATTCAAACACTTGCTCCGTTTCCTCTTTTGAAGAAGGAAATAAAAGAGACAGCTATTGAAAAGGAAGGGGAAAACTCAGTATTCACAGACAACATGATTGCTATACTTTGGCAGTGAGGTAGCCATAGATTGGGGATCCCTGGGAGACTTATGCTCTGATAGTAACACTGGGGTCTCTTTAGATGGGTAGAGGAGCCTCGGGAAGCTTAAACAGCTACACTTTTGGGTACTAAACTAAAGGTTGGCAGTTTGGAACCCCCCCAGAGGTGTTTGATGATCTACTTCTGAAAAGCCCGCCCTCGACAACCCCTTGGTTCTCAGCTCGGTTCTGAGCCATCCGGGGGCACCGTCAGTGGGAATTGACTCGACAGCAACTGGTTTTATGTTGTTGTTGCTTTTGTCTTTTGTTTATATGAGCGCATTTAATTGTAAAGTTTAAGTTTGGGATTTTTTTTGATGTGTGAAAAATAAAGAGCACCGAGGTAGTTCAGTGGTAGCATTCTCACCTTCCATGCCAGAAACTGAGGCTCCATTCCTGGCTGGTGTGCCTTACGGACAGCCACCACTCATCTTTCAGGGGGACTTGAGTACTGCCACGATGCCGAACAGAATTCGGTGCAGGTTCCAGAGTAAGAAAGAGTGATTAGAAAGGTCTGGCTATCTGCTCCCTAAAATAAGCCATGAAAGCTTTGTGGAATCCCATCCCTTCCCATCCCATCCCATCCCATCCCAACATGCATGAATCAAAGGGCTATGAATCAAAGGGCCACTCACATGGCAGCTAACAAGAACCACTTTAATAAAGGAGAGGCAAAGAATGCTGGGTAGCCCGAGCCAGCATGTGTGTAGCGCATTCGATTTGAAAGAAGGAAGCAACACCGTGATTGCTGCAAAGAACACATACCTTCCACATTTGTTTGCCAACCATTCCCCACCGCATTTTCCATAAGCACTGCTATGTCAATTTTCTTTCTTGGAAACAAATGAGCATAGGTTGGTTACACAAACCCTTCTTTGGGGGTAAACACAGAAGGTCCCTGTTATTGGTGTAAGGATAGGGCACATGTGGGTGTTGGCAATACCATCTCTTACTCATGCTCAAGTAGAACAGGGAGTGGGGAGACCAAGGAGGCAGTAGCTCTCTGGGTGATGGACATGTTGGCTCTTGGTGACTGGCCCAACAGCTGGGAGTTCAAATCTTCTCAGAGGTGACTGAGAAGAAAGCCCTGCTAACTTGTAGCCCCCAAATTAGATCTTTGGGTTGTAAATCTACTCTGGCTTCCAAGGGCTGCCCGTGAGTGAGCTTCGTGGCCATGGGCTCCATTTGGTTTGGGAGTAGGGAGTGGGAGGCTTGAGAGACACTGTAGTTTGATGATTGATCTGGGAACTATAAGGGTCAGCCTGGGTGACATTTTGGATGTGAAGAGGAGAGAGGCGAAAAGCATACTGGTGAGTCATCTGGGATCATGATTCCTTGGTGAGTCCATCTCCAAAGGGGAGGAGCCAGCATGCGGATTCAATGTTGACCAAAATCCCCACTGGGGAGGGAGGTGGAGATGTGGGTTGGGAGATTAAGGGGAAGATTTGTCCTGTAGATGGAGATTCACAAATGGCAGCCAGTCAGAGAATAAGAAAGAAGGCCATCATTGTAATCCTTTTCCATCCAATTCTTCTCAGGGAAGCCCCAAGTGACCGAGCATCCCATCAAAGTTCTTCCAAAGAAGAAGAACAGTTGGAATGTGCTGAAATGCATCTATATGATGGTCACCTTCTTGTTCGTGTCCTACAATAAAGGAGACTGGGTAAGGAGCTGGCATCCCAGGGCAGGTAGAGGCAGGGAGGGTGTGGGAGGAAAGAGAAGTTAGCCATAGAGGAAGGGAAGAAGGAAGAATAAGCATTGACAAGTAGGTCAAGGTAGGAGAGGACATCTCTTTTGTTAACAAATCCTCCCACTCTCTACCTCTTCCTTCCTCCTCCCTCTTTCTTTCCTTTCTACCTTCTTTCCAGTGAACATGAAAGAGAGGCTCTTCCCCCCGCGCCCACCATTAGTATTGGAACAATATAGGAAGGAAGGGAGGAATAGGACCTGTCTCACCTTAACCTTTTATTTCTCTGTTCCTGGTTCAACTCTTCATTGGCCTCCTAAGTGTTACTGCCACTACTGCAACCAAGATGCGGAGTTCAGGTACGTGAAGAAGGCTTTTCCACTGCTAGGGAGGGGCTTCACGCCAATTCATGGGCTGGCTTCCAGGGAAAGTGACTCGTAGTTGAGGTGGGGGGCCCCAGGTGCATTTGAAAAACCCCCTCACAGGAGTGTGCAACAAATGCCAAGTTCATGACCTCTAGCTTTCAAGCCACTGCCTGATACAGCCAGTGAAGGGAAGGCACAGCAAGTGCCGGATACAAAGGGAGCTGGATGGATTCAAGGATGATTTCATGCAATAATTTTTTCCCCAAATGTGGAGAATTCAACAAAATTAAACTCACTGCCATCAAGTCGCTTCCGCCATCTCATAGCGAGTGACCTTTATAGGACAGAGCAGAATTGCCCTTGTGGGTTTCGGAGACTAAATCTTCACGAAAGTAGAACATCTTCTTTTTGTCACTCAACTCAGCTGGAGATTTTGAACTGCTGGCCTTGCAGTTAGTAGCACAATTCATCACCCCCTGTGCCACCAGGGCTTGGTGGTAAAATGCACACAACATTAATCACTGGTGGCATTTAGTACAATGCTGGACCACTATCACCACTGTCCAGTTTCAGAATTTTTTTGTTCAATTGACATGGATTTTGTTGTTGTTGTGAGAAGGCCACGGAATCCATTTAGACCAGCCGTTCTCAACCTGTGGGTTGTGACCGCATTTGGGGGTCAAACGACCCTTTCATAGGGGTCACCCGATTCATAACAGTAGCAAAATGAGAGTTTTTATTTTATGGTTGGGGGGGGTCACCACAACATGAGGAACTGTACAAAAAGGTCAAGGCATTAGGAAGGTTGAGAACCACTGAACTAGACTCTAACCATCCCACGTGACAGAGTAGAACTGCCCTATAGGATTTCACAGTCAATAATCTTTCTGGGAGCTCATCGCCAAGTCTTTCTCCCTGAAAGCCACTGGGTGGATTTGAACTGCTGAACCATTGCACCACCGTGACTCCTTAAGTGAATTTTATCTCAAAATTTTTTTTTTTGAAAAACCAATTTGTATAATGGAACAATAGTTGCATTGGCCATGAGTTGCCAAGCTTGGGACTAGACTATGAGCCCTCATGGGGGCAAGAACAATACTTTCTCTCCCTTTGGGACTCCAGGACCCAGAACTTGTCCCCCGTTCTCGTGTGAAGCACCTCCTATGGGGTGGCAGAGAGCAACCAAGCATCCCCAGTCATGCTGTTGTGAAGGATGGGGCAGGGTGCTGTGTCCGAGAGGACCAGGAAGGGGCAGCTCCTTCCACGGGGTTGCCAGAGGAACTGCTCTGAGAAGAAACCAGGGGTAATGACCACTTTGAGACGGTGTTCCAGATGGTGACTCCAGCTAGTGGGGGGAAGGAACAAAGTGGGTGGAGCACAGTCGTTGAGGAGCGTGGTTTGCAGCGGTGGAGGGAGGAGATGGGCTTGGGGTGAGACATGGATTTGGCAAGTGAACGATGATGTGCACAAATGCAAAAATTCATGGCTCACTTCTTTTCTTCTCTTCCTTAGAAAAGATCCCTGCTGCTCTTTTTAGTGACTCTGCTTCAACTCAGGTCAACCTTCAAAAGGCCTCCATCTCTTCGACCGTCCCACATCCCCCTCCCCGAAGAAGCCTTTTCTCTGTCCCCAAACTGCTAATTTGGAGGGCAACGAATTGGACCCTTTAAGGAATAACATCTGTTGGTCTCGGGGTAATGCAAATGGTTTATACTTGGCTGCTACTCTGTAACACGGGGGTGGTCAGGGGTCGATGGCAATGGATTTGATTTTAGGCTTTGGCCCCAAGGACTCTGAGGGTCTCTAGAATTTCTTGTGGGCCAGGAGATGAACGCATACTGTAGCTGAGAGACCAGCTATAGAGATTCCCCCACCAACTTCTCTTCCAGACCCTTCTCAACCTTTATCTGTCATTTCTATAATAAATGCATACTTGTTGAAATGGCTGTGAAGTAGGTTCCTCCATTTACTCAATATGGAAAATTAAGAATGGGGTGCCAGGGTGCTGAGAATTTCATATACACATTATTATTACTTTTGCTCTTTTCTGTACCAGTGTACATGCTCTGGTCTAGCCGAATTTGTAGGGTAGAATTGGGGTCATGATAATTGGGGTGGGGGGGGGCAGGGGAAGCATTAAACAACTAGAGGCATGTTGTGTGTTTCAAGGGTGTTATACTGCACCCCGACTGGCTCTTCTTTTCCTTGCGACCTTTCTGTAAGGGGATGTCCAATTGTCTAGAGATGGGCTTTGGGTCTCCACTCCTCACTCCCCTTCATTCCCATTGATATGATGTTTTGTTCTGGGTTTTTGATGCCTGATACCTGATCCCATCAACACCTCCTGCTCACACAGGTTGGTGTGCTTCTTCCTTATGGGCTTGTTGTTTCTCTGTTAGATGGCCGCTTGTTTAACGTCAAGCCTTTAAGACTCCAGACACTACATCTTTTGATAGCCAGGCACCATTAGTTTTGTTCCCCACATTTGCTTGTGCACCCATTGTGTCTTCAGCAATCCTGCCCGGAGGGTGAGCATCACAAATGCCAGGTTGTTAGAACAAAGTGTTCTTGTGTTGAGGGGGAGCTTAAGCAGAGGCCCAAAGTCCATCCATTTCCTCAATGTATTGCCATATAAATATATGTACATAGACCAATACCTCTATTTTTAGGAATTAATATATTTGCATATGTACAAATCTATGTTTATACCTCTATCCATAGCTTTGCTTTCTAGATTTTCCTTTTACCTTCCTCCTGTCCCATCATCATGCTACCTCGTCTGCCTTTTAGTACTTCCTCTCAGCAAGATTGCTGTTGCACCAACACCCCCAGGATCTCTACGTCCTCCTTGTTGTTGATTTTAAATTCCTGGTTGTTCCCCTGTCCCTCCAGAACTGTCGGTCCCATTACTTTCTCCTCGGGCTTGCTTCTCATGCCTATCTTATATAGGTAGGCAAACCCACAATAATAGAAACAAAAGAAAAAGAAAACAAAAGGTTGAATAAAACGGGGGGAAATAACTAGCAAAAAGCCGTGCCCCCCCCCCAAAAAAAGGCATACATAGTTCCAAGTTTGTCCGCTAACCTTTATGACTATCTCCCCACCAGTCCTGTATGGTTCTGGGAACTGCCTCTCTTACCCTGAAGTCTAGTTTGGGGCTCCTCAGGGGCTTTGTATACACAGTTTTTTTTTTATGTTCCACACAGTCAAATGCCTTTGCCTAGTCAATGAAACACAAGTAAACATCTCTCTGGTAGTCTCTACTTTCAGTCTGACATCAACAATGATATTCCTTGTTTCATGTTCTCTTCTGAACCTGGCCTGAGTTTGTCAACTCCCTGTCAATGTACCACTGCAATTGTTGTTTGATGGGTTTCAGCACAAAATTTTGTGTTTGTGATATTAATTGTATTCTGTTGGTCACTTTTCTTTGGAATGGGTACAAATACGGATCTCTTTCAGTTGGCCAAGTAGCTTGTCTTCCAGATTTCTCAGTATTGACAAATGAGCACTTCTAGTGCTTCATCAGCTTATTGCAAAATTTCACTTGACATTCCATCAGTTCCTGGAGCCTTGTTTTTGGCTAATGCCTTCATTGCTGCTTGAACTTTTTCCTTCAGTAACATTGGTTTTTATAATAGTTCTATATGCTTGAAATTACTTTAAAGGCTTGCTTTAAAAATTAATATTTTTTCCTTGACATTGAATTTCTTTGATTTTAAAATTGAGATTAGAAATACCTAAAAGCATTTTCCCACTTGCTTTCGCTAAACTAATTGAATTCGTCTGTTGACGATTATCTCCTCATTGTCAATTGGGGGTTCTGGATGCTTTTTAAAATCATTTTTATTAGCATCTAAAAAATAAAGTTCTACTGTCTGGTGGGAAAAATGTAAATAAGGTGAGGTTCTTGTGGAAGCTGGGATGTTTTGCCAAGAGAAGGAAGAAGTCCACGTTTAGGGTAAGTGATACACAAGGTCAACCATTTCAGAAACAACTATGGTGATCACTAGAAAGGGTCAGCCTGTGAATACATGCATAACCCACGTGTTCCTTTCATTTCTTACTTTCTGCAAGTCATTTCTGATTCATGGACACACAATCAATAACATTTGTTATCAGCTGTAAGCACATATCAATTTAAAATCTATAAAAACAATAGCATAAATCATAGGAGGAAGCATATTGAATTATCCAGTTTAAGGTCTTTATGTATGCTGTGAAGTGTAAAATAGTAATTCTAAGAACTTAATAGGTTAGGTAGGATGCATAGTATGATGGGTACAACCACCACCACCACCACCACACACACACACACACACACACACACACACACAAAAAGCTACCTACATAGCCTTTCCACAGTGGCTTTCAACAATTTATGAACAGAACCGGACACAGTGTTGCTGTGGATCAGCCATAAATGGCTAACAGCGGGAAAACGTGAAGTCAACATAAAGGTGGTAGGCAACAACCAGACACAAAAGTCTGAAAATGAAATGATATAAAAAGTAAAAACAGAACTCAGCATGTCAACGTTGACAAAGGTGATAACCAGCATTGAGATTGTGTGGGTGGCTGTGGTCTCAGGGAGATGCTTGTAGGAATGTTTGAGGTGTGAATATACTGTTCTTTCTGGTGGTGCCTCTACAAGAGAAGTAACATGGAGCCACTGTGCCAGACCGTGAGGCCAATAAAGGTGATGTCAGTAGCTGACCACAAGAGGACAGTACCTTTACTGAAACATGAAGTTGAACAGAACCAGTCATCTGGGGTATGAGTATCATACCCAAGCACCAGTGGACCAGAGTTTCTCAGAGGAAAGTAGATATTTATCAAGGCACTTGATATCCAGGAAGATGCAACAGGAAGGACCAATGACCTTGTGTGTTAGTCTGGGTACTTTAGAGAAACATCCGCAGAAACTCATGCATAAGAGAGAGTTTTATATAAAGGTTAAGTGCACATCAGGAAAACATCAACCCAGTGCTGTCCAAGCCCACAAGTCCAACATTAACCCATATGTCCAACACCAATCCACAAAGTCCTCCTCCATCTCGCAAAACACACACTATAACACCAACTGCAGGAGGAAAGCCGAATCAGTGAATGTTTAAGCATCTCATCATTGGCAGGAGTCTCCACATGGCTGCTCCAGCACCCAGGGGTACATCGGGATAGATCCATGTGGCTTCTCCTCAGGGATGTTGAGTTAGTTAATTGTGCCAACCTGGCTGATAATCACATGTGGGGCTAATTGAAAGGCGGAGGGATAAATGGGTGGTGAG